ATTTTTATTTTGACGTATTCCCACTTACATTATTTTTACTTTTGTTGCCTGTGCTTTTGCTGTCAAATTCAAAAAATCATTGTCAAGAGCTTTCCATTGTCAAGGAGCTTTCTCCTGTATTCTTCTAGGAGTTTTACGGTTTCAGGTCTTACATTTAAATCTTTAATCCATTTAGAGCTAATTTTTGTGAGTGGCATAAGACGGGGTCCAGTTTCATTTTTTTATGTGGATATTGAGTTTTCTCAACACCATTTATTAAAGAGACTGTTCTTTCCCCATTGTGTTTTCTTGGCACCTTGGTCGGAGATTAGTTGACTCTATGTGCAAGGGTTTATTTCTAGGGTCCCTATTCTGTTCCAGTGGAGTGTATGTCTGTTTTTATGCCAATACCATACTATTTTGATGACTACACCTTTGCAATATAATCTGAAATCAGGAAATGTGATGCCTCCAGCTTTGTCCTTTTTGTTCAAGATTGCTTAAGTCCCATACGAATTTTAGGATTTTTTTTCTTTTTCTGTGAAAAATATCATTGGAATTATGATAGAGATTGCCCTGAATCTGTACATCATCTTCAGCAGTACAGACATTTTAACAATATTAATTCTTCTAGTCCATGAACACAGATACCTTTCCATTTACTTGTATCTTCTTCGATTTCTTTCATCAATGTTTTTTTTTTTTTTTTTTAGTTTTCAGTGTACAGATCTTCACCTTCTTAAGTTTATTCCTAAGTATTTTACTGTTCTTAATGCTATTGTAATGAGATTGTTTTCTTAAATTTTTTTGGCTAGTTTGTTGTTGGTATATAGATATGCAATGAATTTTGTATGTTAATTTTATATCCTGCAACTTTAGTGAATTTATTTTAAAAAAATTTTTGGTAGAGTCTTTAGGGTTTTCTATATATAAGATCATGTCATCTGCAAAGACAATTTTACTATTTTTACTTCTTCCTATCTGATTTGGATGCCTTTTGTTACTTTTTCTTGCCCAACTGCTCTGGCTAGGACTTCCAGTGCTGTGTTGAACAAAAGTGGTAAGAGTGTACATCCTTGCTTTGACCCAGATCTTAGAGAAAAAGCTTCTGGCTATTTTGCTATTGAGTATGATGTTATCTGTGGGCTTGTTGTATATGGTCTTTATGATGTTGACGTACATTCTATCTATATCTAATTTGTTGAGAGTTTTTATCATGAAAGGATGTTGGATTTTGTCAAGTAGTTTTTCTGCATCTATTGAGATGATCACATGATTTTTATTTTTCATTTTTTTTAATGTAGTGTATCACATTTATTGATTTGTTTATGTTAGACCATCCTTACATCCCAGGGATAAATCACACTTAATCATTGTGTATGATACTTTTAATGTGCTGTTGAATTCAGTTTGTTAGTATTTTGTTGAGAATTTTTACATTTATGTTCATTGGGGATACTGTAATTTTCTTGGTAGTGTCCTTGTTGTGCTTTGATATCAGGGTAATTGTCCTCATAAAATGAGTTTGGGGGTATTCCCTCCTCTTTATTTTTTGGGGAAGAGTTTGAAAAGATATTATTAATTAGATGTTTGGTATAATTCACCAGTGAAACCATCTTGTTCTGGGCTTTTCTTTGTTGAGAAGTTTTTGATTCCTGGATCAATCTCCTTACTTGTTATTGGTCTGCTCAGATTTTCTATTTCTTCATGATTCAGTCTTGGTAAGTTATATGTTTCTAGGAATTTATCCATTTTTTCTAAGTTGTCCAGTTTTTGGTGTATAATTATTCATAGCAGTCTCTTATGACCCCTTGTATTTCTGTAGTATCAGCTGTAATGTTTCTTCTTTCACTTCAATATTTTATTTATTTGAGTCTTCTCACTTTTTTCCTTAGTCTAACTAAAGGTTTGTCAATTTTGTTTATCTTTTTAAAAAACCAACTCTTAGTTTTATTGGTCTTTTCTATTGTTTTTCTAGTCTTTATTTTATTTCTGCTCTGACCTTTGCTATTTCCTTCCTTCTGCTAACTTTGGGCTTAGTTTGTTCTTTGTCTAGTTTCTTGAGATGTAAAGTTAGGTTGTTTATTTGAGGCCTTTCTTTTTTAACGTAGGTATTTATCACTATAAACTTCTCTCTTAGAACTGCTTTTGCTGCATCACATAAGTTTTGGTATGTTGTATTTCCATTTTAATTTATCTCAAGATATTTTTTTGATTTCCCTTCCGATTTCTTCATTAGCCCATTGGTTATTCAAGAGTGTGTTGTGTAATGTACACATACTTGTGAACTGTCCAATTTTCCTGTTACTGATTTCTAGTTTCATAATATTGTGTTTGGAAAAGATATTTGATATGATTTCAATCTTCTTGAATTTATTAAGAATTGTTTTGTGGTTTAACATATAGATCTGTCCTGGAGAATGTTCCAGGTGTACTTGAGAAGCATGTATATTTTGCTGCTGTTGGATGGAATGTTCCGTATGTGTTTGTTAGAATCATTAGGTCTAAAATGTAATTCAAGTCTAATGTTTTCTTATTGATCTAGATGATCTGCTCATTGTTGAAAGTGGAGCATTAAATGCTAAGAAGAATCAATGTCTCATCCCTTTAGTATTTTGTCACTCTCCTGTGAACTCTCTCCAATTTTCTCTACATCCTTTCTAAGCCCAGTGAGTATCATGCATTCTGAATTACAATGTAGCCAAATTTGTATAGCTTTAAAATATCCCTGGGGGCTCTATTTCACTTAGTAACAAACAATAGTACAAACAGTAATTTAAACCATCCTTTCCACTGAGAACAACTAAAATGGCTGGGCAAAATAAAACAAGATGAAACACAACAAAATCTTCTGCTTTAATGGCATTGGAAACCTACCATGGCAGTGAAGAGAGCTAGAATCTGGAGAAGGAAACCCAAGAAGTGAGCCTAGCATTTGGTGTACACCTTTTCCCCAGAAGCACTTCAGAAGCTGAAGAGAGCATCTGACAGACTCAAAAAGATAGAGTGTATCTGACAAAAACCCATGCTCAGGGCCTTCTGAGGAATACTATATAAACACCCTAGGCTCTAGGTTGGAACCCTAGAAAAAAGGTCAAGTGGAAAACAGACTAACCTTCACAAGAACTGAAGCCCAGCTTCAAATTACCTTTATTCCTGATTGGACTAAAGTGATCTGGAATTACTAATGCCCCTAGCCTAGTCACTAATTCAATGAAAGTTAAATCATCTCTGAAGGATGATAACCTCATCTAGAGCATCTCAAATTATTTCTATACTTTTTCATTGCCATTATCTGTTACTCAATTAAAAAAAAAAAAACAGATGCACAGAAGAAAACCAATAAAGTTTCCAAAAGATAACATAGGAAATTGGCTTCATGACTTTGAGGCAGACAAAGATTTCTAAAATAGGACACATAAAGCACTAACCAGAACAGAAAACATCAATAAATAAATTTGATGAAGATCTTTTGTTTATCAAAAATTCTATTTAAAAGTGAAAAGGCAAGTCACAAGTAGAGAAGATATTTTTATCACATATAATTACAAAATACTAAGCCTAGTAATATGCATTATATATATATATCCAGAATATATAAGGAACTCTTATGAATCAGTAAGAAACAGACAGGCAAACCAATAGAAAAATGAGCAAGAGACTTGAACAGATGCTTCATAAAGGAACATACCAAGTGGCCAGTAAATATATGAAAAGGTGGTCAACCTTATTAATCATCAGATAATTGCAAATTAAAACCACTACAAACCCACTACCATGATCAAAATTAACAAGACTGACAATACAATGGTGAGGACATGGAGCAACTGGAACTCTCATATACTAGAGGTGCTTGTGTAAAGTGGTACCACTATTTTGTAGAAATTTTTTTGGCACTTTCTTCTAGAGTTGAACTTATGCATGTCCTATGACCCAGAAATTTCAGTCCTGGGTATATTCTCAACAAAAATGTATGTAAAATTGAACCAAAGACATGTACCAGAATGTTCATAGGAGTATTTTTCATAATAGCTCCAAATTATAATCTACATGTTCATCAACAATAGATTCATAAATAAATTATGGTATATTCATACAATGAAATACTGTATAGCAATGAGAATATATGAAGTAGAGCTACACAATGGATGAATCACACAAATAATGTCAATTTAAATAAACCAGACACTGATATTTTCTGTCTGTCTGTCTCTAATCTCATTTACACAAAGTTCAAAAACAGGTAAAAACTATTAAGTGTTGCTAGAAGTCAGGAGAGTAGCTACATTTGGGGAAGAGAAAGGGGTAGTAATTGGGTTATGGCATGAGGTGGCCTGGTTAATTTTGTGTTTCTTGACCTGTTTGGGGTTAAACGAGTGTGTTTATTTTGCAATAATTCACTGAGCACTCATGATATGTATACTTTTCTATATGTATTTATACTTCAATAAAAAATTTTAAATATTTTACAAGTCTCCAAAGACTATATATAAGCTAGCTATCTGCCAATTTGTTCACTATTATAACTTAAGAAACCACGAGAGTTTAACTTTTTGGTTTTTAATTTTTACCTGGGACCAAACAGATCTACTAGAACAGAGTCTGCCCTGCATGTGGCCCAGTTAAGGCCTGGATCAGACTTGGCCAGGATTGATTCAGCCATTAGGAATTAGCCTCCCCCACAGATTAATTGGCCGAGCTCCACTTACTTTCTTGACCACAGCATGGTTCACTGTGTAATTTTAACTAATTCACCTACACAGGCATATTCCCCTTGGAAACAAAGCTCTGAAGGGCCACATGAGTCTACCAGGCCATGAATTGTCTAACCTAATGATGTGCAAACATTTCTCTTGGCCAGAGAGATGCTCACCAGAACTACCTGTGGTTGAATGAGCATTGCATGAGTCTCAAGAGAGGACTGACCACACATCTTTCCTTACTTATCAGAAATCATTCACTGACAACTCAAAAAGAGGATTTTATCATCAATGTTTCAGGGAAGCCACTTAAAAGGATACTTGTGGTCAAAGCTGTACCATAGCCTGAACAGCCATGCACTCTCCTGCTTTGTCCGGTTTCCTCCAGCAGAATCTGGACCATCCTAGGAACAAACAAGAAGACAAATGCTGAGTTTTAGAAAAGGGATTCATATAGGGGGGAAAGCTTTCTTTAACCATAATTTTTAATTATTTTGAGCTCAGAATCAAACATCCTATATCACTAAAATATCAAAGATGTATTGGGAGGTAATATTTTTTTTAAAGAAATTGAATAAATCCAAAAGGCAGGCAAATCAATCCCCAAAGTGAAACAGCTTGGTTATGTCTGTGGGTAGATCAACTCAACACAGTACAAAATTTCTTTTGGCATTCTTACTGTAATTTTTCTCAAAGTTCCTTTCAGCAGATTAATTACCCTAAGGTAGTCTAGATCCTAACAGGTCAAAATTGATTTATAAAGAATATTAAAGAAGCTTCTGCAAATACAAATTTCCAGACCCCCCCTCAAAGCTGGCCTGGGGAAACTATGCTTGGTTGTTTCCTGACAAACAAGCCCAGGGCTCTTGGTGGTCCTGATCCAGGGACTTGCATTGTGTTCCAGGTGGTGCAGTAACTTGTTGTCCTACCAGCTTTAGGAAGGTGGGGGCAGTGGACAGGGGAAATGGAGCCAGAACTACCATTTCTGTTCTTTTGTCTACCCTCAAGTAGTAAGTTCCTTTACTGCTCCTCTCATGCCTTTCCAACTCAAACATTCCCATAATTTAACTTTCAACATAATTGGCAAGATCGAACATTCATTTGAGGTTTAGGAAATTTGTTTTGTATATTATAAGCAGCAAAATTAATATTAAAAAGTGGACTGACTGCAGCAATTTGAGGGCATTGCTATATGACAAGGTCTGAAAATACAGACTGCTTGGGAAGCAGTCATTTTTATCATTATCATCTTGAAAGTTACATGGAGAGGCAACTCTACAAGTGAGGGACAATCATCAATAACTAAATAAAAGTTTAGCCACAATTACAAGTATTTCTAAATCTCAGTGAATGTAAATTCCACCTGTAATAGAAATAGCAAGGATTAGTTGGAGACCTCCAAAAAGGTAAAGACATAGGCAAATAGAGGAAGGGATATTAGGAAGCACTATTTAAATTCCAAATGTTTCCAAAGGCAAAGATTATTTTTAAAAATGAAGTCCCCAGGGTATGTGAGGAATGTTTAGTGACAGATATGGAAATGGCTTAGTTAAATGGGCCTTTCTGTGGATGAGTGAATAAAAAATGAGAGATCCCAGAGACTAACTTTATTTCAAATTTTTTATAATTCATATGGAAGAAAGAGGGCACGGAAATGTCTCCATTTGCAGATATTACTTCTTTCCTTCAGGTAATTAATTGTTAGTCCAATAACAACTCTAGGGAAAGTTCAAAATGCCACATGACTAAGTGGAAAAGTGGTAGATGACCATTCTGAGAGACAAATATCTTAATTTTAAAAAATGGTTCTTTTTAGAGTGACAGCTTCCAAGCTCTCAGTTCTAGAATCTTACTGAAGAAAAAACCAACAAGATGATAAACACCATCAGGAAGCATACTGTAAATCATCAGGCGTAAGACAAGTCCCCCAAAGTCAGTTTCATCTGCTCCTCACCTAAAACAACAATAAAAATGACAACTCCCTATTCTGTCATCCTAAGCTCTGCAAAATCACAATGCATTGTCATCACCTGGAACACTTAAATTCTTGCCATCTCATGTCAAAGAAGCTGCAGGAGACCCATATAGGCCCAAGAGGGACAATTGAAATGGGTAAAGCAAAGGAAAGTCTTCTTTTTGAAGGCAAACTAACAAAAGGTTTTCTCAGGCTACAAAGAGATTTGCCTGCAGTCCAAAATAAGATCAAGAGACCTCAGAAATGTAAGAAACTAAGAGACAGCCCTGAAGGGATACAAGGGGGTAAATTTAGGGTAAATAAATAAAAAGTACAACTTTGTAACAGGGGTGTTAAACAACTTTTTATCCCAAGAGATGGTACCAGAAGCATGATTAGGTACAGGAAAAGGTTAGATTAATCCACACAGAGTGCCTTTGGGGAAATCAGGGAGGGTGTGTGGGACAGGACTAATTTTGTAAGCTGACCCAGAAAACAACCAACTGCTTCACAACTTGATTTTGGCTGCTATCTATCACAGACAAGCCAGTAGAGCTGTTCCTGTGGGCTTGGAGCAGCACGCAGTAGGTTCAGGTTGATCCTGTAATTGGTAGGGCCCCCTTTCCCAGCTGCACTTACAGACTTAGATTGCCATTCATGTGCTGCCCACACAAAAAGCAGGGACTTGCTTTGTCACCATACCCCTCCTCAAAACCTGCATTCCCACCAAGAGGCTTCACATTACCCATATATTTAGCTCCAGCTGCTTCTAGAATCTGGAACACCCTATTATACTCTCACCTTCTCCCACCCACACCACCTACCTGGCTAATCCTATTCATCTTTCAAATGTGTGTACAAGGTCGGCTTCTCTGAGAAATGGTTCAAAGGTAACAGAGTACTCCAAGAGGTATAGGTGTGAACATCACAGGCTTTCTCAACAGACTACTTGAGTTCAAGTTGTCTGTTGAACTGTGCCATTACCTTGCTGTGTGACTATGGGCAAGTTTAAATTGAGATATAATTGCTACATAACATTGTATAAGTTTAAGGTGTACAATGTGTTGATTTAATATATTTATATATTGCAATGCGATTACCATCTTAGCGTTAGCTAACACCTCTATTACGTCACATAATTATCATTTCTCGTTTGTGGTGAGAACAATTAGGATCTAATGTCTTAGTAACTTTGTAATTTATAATACAGTATTGTTGACTATAATCTCTATGCTGTGCATTACATCTCCAGAACTTTTTTAACTACTAGTTTGAAAGTTTGTACCCTTAAACATCTCCCTATTTCCCCCATACCCAGCCCCTGGTAATCAACATTCTACTCTCTGTTCTTATGAGTTACATGAAGGATTTTTAAACTTTTTACTGACATTATTAATAGAGAATCCTCTTCAAGAAAAAAAAATTCCACCAACTCTGCTTATCGCCATTTTTTGAGCATACAACAATTAGTGTCTATTTCTTCTGCGTCCATTAAACACTTACTGCATCCCAGGCAGCATGCTGGGTACTGGAAACACAAAGAGGAATGAGATCCAGCACCTGCTCCTTGAGCACATTTCCAGAAGGGGAGGCAGACAGACAGATACATACATGGTGATGGATGTAATGAAAAAGAAAGCAGATTAAAGAACTCAGGGAGTGGCAAAAGGTCTTATTTTCAAAATGATTTTTCTAGAACTAAAGAAGAATGATTTCTGGGCAGGGTTAGATCTCATTCCATTATTATCATTAAAAGATACATATATTACATTTAGTACTAATTTTTAAAATTTTTATTTTATTAGTTTCAAGTATATAGTACATTGGTTAGACATTTATATAGTTTATGTAATGATTCCCCTAATTGCTCTTTCTCTCCTCTGGCTCTCTACCTAGCCAATATATTAATGCTAACTGCATTCCCTATGTCATGTTCATCTCCATGACCATCTATCAACTACTAATTTGTACTTCTTTAACCGTTCACCCCATTCTCCTAGCCCCTCAACCATCCTCTCCTCTGTCTGTCACCAGATTGTCCTCTATATTTGTGAGTCTGTTTTTCATTAGTTTGTTCTTTTTGTTCCTTAGATCCCACATATAAGTGAAATCATATGGTATTTATCTTTCTCTGTCTGACTTATTTCACTTAGCATGATAACCTCTAGGTCCATCCATGTCATTGTGAATGGTAGGATTTCACTGTTTTAATGGCTGAGTAACATTCCATTGTACATAGGAACCATAACTTAAAAGATATATATTTTTTTAAGTTAAGGTTATTACAATGAGAACAGCTTATGGTTTTTCAGAGATGGAGCAGAATAATGGCCCACTGAAGATTTCTGCACTCTAATCCCTGGAGCCTATAAGTTACCTTATATAGCAAAAGGGACTTTGTAGATGGACTGAAGCTTTTCTAGGTGGGTCCAATGTAATCACATGGGACCTTAAAAGTGGACAAGGAGGGCAAAAGAGTCAGAGTGATACAGTGAAAGAAGAGGCAGGAGAAATTCAAAGTATGACAGGGTCTTGCTCCACTGTTGTTAGCTTTGAAGATGGAGAAGGCCACGAGTCAGGAAATGTGGGTGCTTTTAGATGAGCTTGACCTCCTATAACCACATGAAACTGAATTCTACCAACAATCTGAATGAGCCTAGAAATAGCTTCTTTCTCAGAGCCCAACCCAATCAACATCTTGATTTCAGCCTTGAGAGATCTGAAAACAGAGAAACCAGTAGAGCTCACCAGATGTCTGACCTACAGGACTATAAGACTCTGTTGTTTTAAGACGTTAA